CTGTCGCTGCCTACCTCAACTTCGTACATGACTCGGCCAACTCTTCTGACTCCAACATAAGAAGATCAAATAAAACAGAACAACAAAGTCCCAGACGATTGATTGATATTTTTCAAATGAAATATTGATTGTATGGATCTTAGATTTTAACAAGAGATTCTGTAATTTTGTGTGTTCAAGCATATTTGATTGTCCCCATCTTATGTTACATTGAGTAATGAACATGATAACCTGTCTTTTTAAATTAAGCAAAGCTAATCAACTAAATTCATCAGATTGACCTCAATTTTCTTTTTTTCTTTGCAGTTAAATTCATAAATATAATTAAAAGTTAATTTAATCTATATTTACAGAATAAACTTCTATTACCGAAATTCAAACAAAACAATTTCAATGAAACTAAATGAAGTATAATGATAAGTACATGTGAAATGGTGTAAATAGATTTGGGCATAAATAGAACTAAAGTATAGAAGTAAAACATCGCAAATAAGCAGATAGATAGATAGATAGATAGATAGATAGATAGATAGATAGATAGATAGATAGATAGATAGATAGATAGATAGATAGATAGATAGATAGATAGATAGATAGATAGATAGATAGATAGATAGATAGATAGATAGATAGATAGATAGATAGATAGATAGATAGATAGATAGATAGATAGATAGATAGATAGATAGATAGATAGATAGATAGATAGATAGATAGATAGATAGATAGATAGATAGATAGATAGATAGATAGATAGATAGATAGATAGATAGATAGATAGATAGATAGATAGATAGATAGATATTGATGGTGGCTCAGTTTAGTGAATTGGTTGAAGTTGTGCATACTTCCATACCAGTGATCTAGAGGTTGAAATTACTAAAATCTCCACAAAATCCCTTCTTTTAATGATATGAATTTTTATAGATTAGTTCAATTAGAAGATGGAAACCCTATAGTACTTATTAGTTGTCTTATTCTAATTCAATACTCATAACCAGTCAGTATCTATCAATGAAGAACCATAAATCTTCGATCTTGTTCCTTTGGATACACATTTTCCAACTTTAATCAATTATCTAATGAATAATATAAAAATATATCTCGTTTAGGTTGATGATGAAAACATTTCAGTTGAATATCTATTCAAATGGACAAAATATCATTTTGTAATGATTTCAATCTTCCCATTAATGTTGACGACTTAAACTGATCAGTCTCATTTTAGTATACGTGTATTTTGAGTGGAATTTCTCGATATTGTCATTAAGCAGTCGGGTTTTAAGTCAATTTGATAGTGGCTAACATTGGAATTCAAGGCGTTCATTTCATTCTATTCAGGATTCGTAATTTAGATGTACCTACATTTCGAAGTTGATGTTCACATCGAGATTTAATCAAGATGGCCTTCTATCCATCCAAAGAATGCGTTATCAACTTAACTACCGAATCCAAGCAACCACTAAATTAAGTAACGAGAATGAATTGAATATTTAATGGCATGGATCTTCCCGTTGATATTAAGTGCGGGAATTAGTAAGTATCATTTTGGTATATGTGCATCATGTAGATTTCATTAATGTTGCCAGTGGATATCACGACTTTACAGGTCAATGAAAAATCTGTTCCTGACATGAGTTTCAACACAGATGTAATTACATCAAGCTGACGTGTCCTAAATTAAACGAAACACGCTTGATGGATCTCAGTCCTTGCCAGAATCCAAGTTTACTTACAAACAAAAGTATTATTCAAACATTTGTTGCCATTAATTCCTTAATGAATAACTAATGAATAACTAAAAATCCCACTATAATTTCTATAAACAATCAACTAATTATTTTTACATCATTCCGAAATCTCAGCACGGATACAGAAGGCTCAACTGACTTTTGCCAACGTGCGTCATTTATGGTGTAGGCGAGATATCCGTCTACCAACCAGAGGACGGGTTTACTGCACGGCACTTCGTTCTGTCCTACTTTATGGCAGTCAATCATGGTCGGTAAGAGTATAGGATATTCGTAGGTTACTAGTATTCGATCATAGGTGTCTTCGAAACATTGCTCGTATATCCTGGAACCATCGAGTAAGTAATGCAGTTGTTAAGAAACGGGTACTACGTAAGGATGGCAAATCAATTGATGAAGTAGTGAAACTACATCAGTTGAGATGGCTGGGACATGTGTTACATATGCCCAAACACCGAGTGTCTCGATGTGCGATGTTTTATGGTGTAGGACCAGGTTGGAAGAAATCTAGGGATGGCCAGACCAGAACACGGCACAAATCCATGAAGTCACTGACAAGTGGACTGAGGCATGTTGGTATGTGTAGACTACCTGGTTGCGAACCGCGAGATGATAGCAACCGATGGTTAGAGACCCTGAATGATATGGCTCAAAATCGTTTGCAATAGCGCAGTTGCATCCACTCTTTGTGTTCTCCCAAATTCTAATCTTCTGAATTCTTCATGTCCCTTTTATTTCTTCCCAAATATACTTCACTGGATTATACGCCATGAATAACATCTTCGAACCCTGATCTTTCCGGTTACTGCTTATACTCTTACTACCTCTACCGCTATGGGATTTGAATCGACAACTGCATCTCTATGTGCGAATGTGGTATGGCAACTCGAACTGATATACGTATGTAAGAAGTTCTATGTTGTTGACTGACTGACTGACTGACTGACTGACTGACTGACTGACTGACTGACTGACTGACTGACTGACTGACTGACTGACTGACTGACTGACTGACTGACTGACTGACTGACTGACTGACTGACTGACTGACTGACTGACTGACTGACATCGTTCCTATTGTAATAGTTAGAGTACTTTTTTTGTTGGTTGCTTATTCCTTTAAAATTGTTAAAACGTACTTACTATTTGTTTGAACTAATAAAAAAAATACAACACTGTATAGTTTGTAAATTCACAAACACATATGTGCAACTACACAGATTTTCATTATTTTTTTATTTATTTAAACACATAAATATTGGTACAATAAGGCGCCAAATAGATATGCGCCACATAGATCATTCGATTTTTGTGAGAACTGGGATACAGCCCGGGTGCCCAAACCAAACCAGGTAGTTTTCTTAGGAGGTCACACTTGAAGCCTTCCACACAAAGGTCTAATCCACAAGGCAGTAGTGAAGCAACATAAGGAGATGCAGTTCCATGATTACTGGTGACCAACAATAGGTTCATACGCCATTTGTTTCTATCAGGATCCTAGAGCCTATGTGCATCATTAGTTTGGAATGAGGGTTTTCTAACTCCCCTAGATGCACTCTTCGTACTCACTAAGATCTTCATATAAAACTATAAAGGCATTTTAAACAATCCCTTACTATGTACTAAACTATCTACACTATATTGAATTAGTTAGTAATATCATATTAAAATATCTTTCCATATAATAAATGAAAAATCAATAACCTTTTAATATTCAAACTGTTGACATTGTTGAACTTTTTTTAAAAAAAAAACTTAACCGCCATCATCTATCCATCAGATAATTTACCATGGTAACACTTAAATTATTATTTTATATTAACCAATAGGAATGAAGTTAATATTAGTTACCTACACACAAATAAATAGATCCAATAATTCTGACCAATCAAATTGAAGTTCTTTAAGGTTCATTAGTATATATATATATACATGTTGTCAAATTTGTTTCGAATATAATAATGAACCATTTTATCGCATAATAATAGACTACTCTATACATTCTGTTTACCTTTTTCTTAAAATGTATGTAAGAATACAATATTCTGTAAACTAAAGGTAACAGTAGTCACGTTTTGTGACACGGGATGGAATTCATCAGTCCCCAATAAGATTACAGGTACACCTTTCTGACAAGTGCCAAGTAGAACGAAACCTAAGTTTAGGGTTTCCTGTTGACTACCTTCAACCAACATCTTATCTCAAGTTTTGTTTGTATGATAATACTATAACATATGATATATGTCTAGTCTTTGATGTTCTATAAAATATAATCGAACAATCTGAAATAAAGTCAATAGATTAAATGTGTTTTTGATGTGCTTTTTTGTTAGATGAAGGCTAGGTCTCGTCCTAGTTCACATTTGTACACAAGGTGTATTTATTGTTTTGATCGATAAAGATTAAAACCCATATCACTAAGTATTTCAGTAGGATACGTTACCAGTGTGTCATTCGGATTAAAAATGACTGATTTATTGTAAGATTGAAATGTTAAACTAACTGTAGTAAAATCACTTAGATTGATTATAGCACTCTAACTTGGTCGATAAGATTCGTTTAGAACTGCTTCCTACTAACTATTTGATTAGTTCTAATGTTTGAATTCTTTTGCAGGATAATCACTATCTGAACAACATGGTAAACAGATTCTGTCCATATTGACAACAACGACGTAAATTGTGACGATGTCGCGCGATTTATAAAAGCTTAATATACATCATTTTAAAACTATTCAAAGTAATCCTTTTATTTAAGTCAATACTTGAGTCTCATCTCTTGTCCACAATTGTTCGAAATATCCTTGGAACCCCTCAAAGATAAGGGTTTTGTAGCTCCCTCGTTCTTATTTTATGCTTTTGTAGAATCCTACTTTCTGAATACAATTCACCATCAAGCACCCAGATGAAAAATCGGCCTTTGGTTGACACAAAAAGATGAAATAAATTGTTAT